CCTTAGGAATGGGTTTAGCCTCAATTGCTCTTGGTTTCTTCTTCTTGACTTCTTGGGCACTTGGAACATTTATTAAACACAGGGATACTCCCATTGTCAAAGCCAACAATCGGTTTCTCACCTACACCCTTCTTGTCTCTCTTCTGCTCTGTTTTCTCTCTTCTTTGTTGTTCCTCAGCCAACCTGGCAAGTTGATCTGCTTTCTCCGACAACCAACTTTTGGCATCACTTTTTCAGTGGCCATTTCTAATGTTCTGGCCAAAACCATCACTGTTGTTGTTGCTTTCATGGCCACTAAACCAGGGTCTCAGATGAGGAAATGGGTGGGGAAAAGATTGGCCCTTTCTACTGTATTTTCCTGTTCTCTCTTCCAAGTATGTATATGTATCCTTTGGTTGTCAACATCTCCACCATTCCCTGAGATGGACATGTACTCAGAGCACCAAGAAATGATTTTACAGTGCAATGAGGGATCAGCTTTCTTTTTCTACTGTGTCTTGGGATACATGGGTCTCTTAGCCATTGCCAGCTTTATTGTGGCTTTTCTTGCCCGTAAATTACCTGACAGCTTTAATGAAGCCAAGTTCATCACCTTCAGCATGTTGGCCTTTTGCAGTGTGTGGACCTCCTTCTTTCCAGCCTATCTGAGCACAAAAGGCAAAGCCATGGTAGCTGTGGAGGTCTTCTCCATCTTGTCCTCCAGTGCTGCATTACTGGGATGCATATTTTTACCAAAGTGCTACATTATTGTTTTACGGCCTGAATTAAACTGCAGGGAGCAACTCATAAAGAGGAATTAACACATCATGTAATATTGCTGGCTTTGAGAAATTGCTGATAGAAAGAAAAGAGAAGGACTGTTTGCTGTCCATAAGAGACGTGTAGAAGTCATTATTTCTGACAACAGATGATTGATGGAAAATTATCCTGATCATTTCAATTTATTATGGTTGCTAATTGCAAAAGAAATGCTCTTGCTGCTGCATTTGCAATCATTCTCCAAGATTCTTCAACTGATCACCTTTTGTCTTTCAAGTTAGAAAGACAATGAGAATCCAGATGTCTTGTTAGGAGATTAGAGATATTGAATCAGATCATTTCCAATGTTTGTAGTTTATTTGTTTATTTATTTAGACAATTTATATAGCCCCCTACTCACAGTGACTCTAGGAAGCTTACATGCAATAAAATACAATATAGAAATAAAAATAAAACAATAACCCCCATGCCACTCACCTGGTGACCACACACAGTGGGCTCCATTCCACTCTAAGTTCCCCAGGCCCACTGACAAAACCAAGTCTTCAGAAGCTTACAAAAGAGTGTCAAGTTTCTGAAGGGATGATATTCTAAAGGGAGGGAGTCAACACAGAAAAGTCCTTCTGGGTCCCACCAGATGTACCTCCTTATATGATAGGACCTTGCCATAGTTATGGTTTTTATGTTTTCAATTCATAAATGAATCCATAAATATAGTAAAAGGGGAATTCAATTTATGAACATATATTTAACACAGTATCAGAGGATATCTGTTTTGGATTGGTCTGGGGTCTTTGAAATGTGAATATTATAGAGTTTCTGAAATATAAATGCATTTTTTTAAAAAAATCAAGCTCACTCTCTATTCATCAATATTTCCACTATAACTTATTTTTTAATAATACAAAAAGAATTAGTGAAAGGAAATTAAATGTATTCTTACTTCCATCTCATCCTTTACAAGAAGTTTATGCTGGCCAATTACCATCATAAAGAGTGGTTTGATTTGATCTTTTCCAGTTTTAGCTTTATCATTTTTGTGTCAAGGTTTCGACTGATGATCCCAACGAAATAAGCACAGCTGAGACTTTCCAATCTCTAATACAAAACTTTATTGAGCACACCATTTCAGCACAGATGAATAGAAAACCAGCTCTGGTTACTTGGTGTCAAAATAAGTACATTAAAATATAGAATCTCCCTCCCCCCTATTAGGTCACATTATCCAACAAAGTGTCAGACAATTGTTATGAGAGAGTGTTTCAGTTCTCAGTAAACAGTTCTTGGACAACCTTGGTTCTCACGGCTTGGCAGTCCAATGTCTGAAACCTGGATTTCATTTTTCCCTCCCCCCCCCCCCAAGTCTGTTGGCAAGCTAAAAAGCAGTAATGGATACAGTAGCATAAGCATTCTTCGCAGCTTGACATTTTGATTCTTTTAAATAATTATTATAGAATGATTTTAACTAATGATTGTCTTACTTGTATACTGGATTTTTGCACGCTGTTCAGAGTCACTTGCCACAAGATGCACAGCCACATGAAGTTGCTAAATTAATAAATTAGTTATTAAAAGATATTAGATGGTCTTTGGAAACTGCATAAATAGAAATCTGGCAATATCCATTAGAAATGGAGATATGACTAAATATAGTTTTATAAAACCTGATTAACATGCAGCAACCATCCTTAGAATTAATAAACAAGATCCTGATGTTTATGTAGATTTTGCTTCTCAGGATCAACAACTAACAATAAATGTCTAAGGAGATTATTAATCATCCAAGTCATGGTTGTCCCAAAGGTGATTTTTCAAAAGGCAACTGGACTATCTTCGTTTTTCCTTGAAGATGTTTCACTTCTCATCCAAGAAGCTTCTTCAGTTTTGACTCTGACCAAGAACTGAAGAAGCTTCTTGGATGAGAAGTGAAATGTCTTAAAGCAAAAACAAAGAAAGTCCTGCTGCCTTTTGAAAAATCACCTTTGGGACAACCAACAACAAAAGAACCAGCACTCAGGATTTATGCTGTAAGGTAAGGTAGCAATGAAAGTTTCAGAGAAGACATTCAAGTGTCCTCGTGTGACAATGTACATAAAGATAAAGATTCCCTGGAGGAACACACAACCTAGTGAAACACAGTTAGGGAAATTCTGACAGTTACACCCAGCAACCACAATTTTTCTTTTCTTTGAGTATCAGTTCAATATTTCCTACTCTGGTTTGTGGCTTTGGAGTTCCCTGCTCAAAAAAGATTCCTGCACTCATTCAAAAGTGAGATATTTGATCTGAGAGCCAATTGGGTATGTCTAGTCTAATGAAGAGAAGGACGAGGGGTGACATGATAGCAGTGTTCCAATATCTCAGGGGTTGCCACAAAGAAGAGGGAGTCAAGCTACTCTCCAAAGCACCTGAAGGCAGGACAAGAAGCAACGGATGGAAACTAATCAAGGAGAGAAGCAACCTAGAACTAAGGAGAAATTTTTGGACAGGTAGAACAATTAATCAGTGGAACACCCTGTCTCCAGAAGCTGTGAATGCTCCAACACTGGAAGTTTTTAAGAAGAGACTGGACAGGCATTTGTCTGAAATGGTATAGGATTTCCTGCCTGAGCAGGGGTTGGATTAGATAACCTCCAAGGTCCCGTCCAACTATTATTATCATCATCATCATTATTATTATTATTATTATTATTATTATTATTATTATTATTATTATTATTATTATTATTGTTGTTGTTGTTGTTGTTGTTGTTGTTGTTGTTGTTGTTGTTGTTATTATTATATTGTTTTGTTATTGTTGTTGTTATCGTTGTCATTGTTTCAGATTTGACAGTCAGTTTGGTCTAGTGATTTAGGCACCAGGTTAGGTTAGAAAGTGGGAGGCCACCTTAGCCATGAAAAACAACTGGGTAACTTTGAGCAAGTCATTCTCTCTCAGCCCAACCCACTTTCTTACTGTGTGAGGAAAACAGGAATAACAGAATAACAGTGTTGGAAGAGACTTGGAGGTCTTCTAATCCCACCCCCTGCTCAAGCAGGAGACCCTATTCCATTTCAGACAAATGGTTGTCCAATCTCTTCTTAAAAACTTCCAGTGTTGGATCACCCACAACTTCTAGAGGGAAGTTGTTCCACTGATTAATTATTCTCACTATCAGGTAATTTCTCCTTAGTTCTAAGTTGGTTCTCTCCTTGATTATTTTCCACCCATTGCTTCTTGTCCTGCCTTCAGGTGCTTTGTGGCTGCCCTTCAAATATTGGAAGATTGCCATCATATCTATCATATGCTATCATATGCGATCATATCATATATATCATATCATATCTACCATATGCTATCATAGGAGGAGGAAGAGGTGTTAGATATCCTCTCTCCTTAATTGTTAAAATAATACAAGTCAGGACACAAATAAAATAAGTAAATAACTAAAGATTTAATGGAGTAGATTATTAAACTCAAGGCAATGGCTAATGCAACTTTCCAAATATCAGTATCAATGTTATTATCGTTTCATTCTTCAATATTCTTTGACTAATATGTGGATAAAACCTCCAAAGAAATTATTAGCTTATTTGTCAGTCCTTAATATATGTAAAAATGTTTCCTCTTCTCCATTAAATTCATTTTATATGGGAAATGGGAACCCTGCTCCATTGTAAGAAGTGAACATGAACTTTAACACTTAAGACTATTTTTAATTGCCAATGTCTCTTAGATTACTTTTATTAGCGTTTGATCACTTTTAAAAAAAATTGAACTATCAGTTGAACCACTTATTCCCTCACCAAAAACAAAATAATTATCTCTTACAGGAATTACCATATTTTTTTTAGCCAGTCCAAAACATCAAGGGCTTTGCATAAAGATAATTTAAATTCAGCAACAATTGAAGTATCAATTTGGATATAAAGTAATTATTGAACTACAGGGAGATTGGCACAAAGGGATAATCATGGCTCTGTCAGATTCATTGCTACAAGTTTCCTCCCACCTTTCTTCTTTTCCAGAACATCTGTTCAATCCAAGTAATAGTCAATATACACATTTGCACTCACATGGACCTTCAAATATAAAATGATGGAAATTCTGATTAAATGCATTGTCAGGTATAAACCTTGGATTAATCATTGAATGAACCACTGAAATATCTACTTCCTTATGGACAGAAGACACATATATTTTCACTATGACAACTACATTAAGATGTTGTTCCTTTTGATGCTCTTTGTGCAAAACATAGTTATTCTGAGCTGCCCTATGAGTGATGCTTTCCCTATTCCCCATGAGTGGTACCAGCCTGGTGGCCTCATTGTTGGTGGGATGGTGTCTCAGATAATTTACCACTTTTTTGAAATTGAATTTAAGGAACATCCTTCTCTAAAACCTTATGATTTACCACTGTAAGGATTTTTTTTTCTTCCCAATCATTTTTCTAATGTTAGGCAGATCTCCCGAAATTGCTTACATGGCTAATAGCTATTTGAGAACAAATTCAAGGTTTTGTATATAAACTAACTCTTGCTTCCTTATCTTTCAAACTTATCTGATTGTGGGAAAAAGAAATCATTTTCTTTTCATTGCATTAAAGTCTTACTCATGAAATGTATGAAACTATAGTGCAAGAGTACATTTAGTGAGCGTAAGATAATTAAAATTATATCACCTGCACAGTCACTCCTCACAAAACTTACATACATTAAATGAGTGCTACTTGATGGTTGTATTCTATTTTGTGCCAAACTGATGGAAATAAATGTGATAGTTTGAAAAAAAAATCACGACTTTGTTGTATATGTATCTGTTGCCAATCATGGAAACACTGTATATAGTTGAAAACTATGCAAATTATTGAGTGTTTTACAAAGATTCTCATCTTACTTACAATAGAAATAGAAATGGTTGTTACTTGTATATCAATGCTTTCACCATAAAAGAATTGTCAACTTATTTTTTTTCAATGGGGGTGTTTAAACTATTTGCAGTGTAATAACTAAGTTCTACCAGCACATTCTTGCCTTGGCCTTTGCTGTGAAGGAGATCAATGAGGACTCCCAGATCTTACCTAACGTCACTCTTGGGTTCCACATCTATGACAGTTACCACAATCCAAGGATGACCTATCGCACTACTCTGGACCTGCTTTTCAAATCCCAGGATTTTGTCCCTAACTACAAATGCGATAGCCAGAAGAATCTCATAGCCATCATTGGAGGATTAGGTTCGGATACATCATCTTATATGGCAGAAAGTGTAAATGTCTACAAAATTCCACAGGTAGTTTGGGATGGAGTGAGAGAGAAAATTCTTTTGTAATTAATAGTAGATACTTGTTGTTTTCCACACCTCTCTACAAGATTTCAGTTAAATTCACTTTCCTTTCTGCTGTTTTTTCCACAACTCTGGAGGCTGGCTCAAGGTAAACAAATCAACATATTGTATTGCAATCATATATGTGTTTTGATTGCCACGTAGCAACAGGTCATACTTCTTCATGCTACGATTTGGTTGATGTGTGATAAAAGTAGTTTAGTGTAAAACTCAATTGTTTTTCCTAGCATTTGCTGGGATAGGTGCTGTAGGGTTATTTAGTATTTTGCCATGCCTTTCTGCAAGACTTCATTTTTGCTCTCTTTGGTCTCCCTTCTGCAATTGTTCCCACAACTCAATAGGTTGGCTCAAAATGATCAATCAAGAAAATCAAAATCTTTTATTACAATCATTGATTAGAAAATTAAAATTTAAATCACAAATTACAGTATAAAATTTATCTTACTTGAGAGGGTCATCTGATATTCTGGTTTGACCACTATATGGTGAAATCTGGAGCTATGTCAAGAGGACAATAGAAAAAGCTGGCTAGCACACAGAGCATAGAACATTGGATAATTGAGTTAGTAGGGACCTTGGAGGTCTTCTAATCCAACCCCCTCTTTCAGCAAAATACCCTATACTATTTCAGATAAATGATTGCCTGGTCTCTTTTTAAAAGCCTCCAGTGATGGAGCACCCACAACTTCTGAAGGCAAGTTGTTTCATTGGTTGATTATTTCCCTGTTAGGAAATTTCTCCTTAGTTCTAGGTTGCTTCTCTCTTTGGTTAGTTTCCATCCATTGTTTCTCGTCTTGCCTTTTGGTGCTTTGGAAAATAGTTTACCTCCTCGTCTTTGTAGGAGCAGCTCAAATATTGGAACACTGCTGTGATGTCTCATGGTTTAGGGAGAATCTCCTTTCAGCCACTTCTTGCCCATCCCCAACTCATGGCTACACAGCATTTTCACTGCTGCCCTCAACTCAGTTCCAGATTCCACCAAGCCACCAAACAATGGGTGACAACTCCCCTTGCTATGTCTAGGTTGGGGTCGGATAATAACTGAATTTAAAACTCAACTGATTTGCCTGGAAATTGTTGAAGGATTGGGACTATGTGTACTTTTGGAGATCTCCATAATAATTGTAGTAAATGAAGACATGATTAACTATTCCTACAGAATCTCATGGTCACAGTCTTTCATTTATAAGTTCTATCTGCTACAAATAAGGGAAGAAGATAATCCAGTAAGTCTAGCCCTTACGAAACCTTTCTGTAGGCTCAGAGAGCTCATAAGCTCAAATAGTTAGCAAGTTTCCAGGTGTTCTAAGGGGACGAACATACTGGAACTCTATATTAGGAAACTGAGTATGGTTGTAATCTAGTTATACTGTATTTCAGATGAGAAAATATTTCATCATGGGGTTTTAGTTGCTTCTCTTGTTCATCAGAATTGTCATAATCTACCTAGAGTTGGAGAAATGTTCAATGTAGAGAGACCTTCATTAAGTTTCTAAATAGCAGTCAAATATTCATGATTTTCATGAATAATGAATTTCTCTTTTTTTGTTTGTCCAGTTGACTTATGGTTCCTTTGCCCAAGAAGATTTTCAGATTACTAAGTTATCTCCACTTTATTGCATGGTCTCAGTGAGAAAATATTTCATCTTGGGGGGTTTTATTGCTGTAATGTTCATCAAAACCATAATATACCTAGAGTTTGAGAACTTTTCAATTGTTCAGTTTCCATTCAGGAGTCATTTTTCCATCTTTTTCCACTGGTTATCATAAATAATAATTTTCCTTTCCTTTCCTTTCCTTTCCTTTCCTTTCCTTTCCTTTCCTTTCCTTTCCTTTCCTTCCCTTTCCTCTGTCTGTCTTCCTTCCTTCCTTCCTTCCTTCCTTCCTTCCTTCCTTCCTTCCTTCCTTCCTTCCTTCCTTCCTTCCTTCCTTTCATTCTTTTCCTGTAGTTGGCCTATGGCTCTTTTGCCCAGGAAGAATTTCAGAGTAACAAATTATCTTCACTTTATTGCATGGTGCCAAATGAGGACAATCAGTACATGGGACTTATACAACTTCTTCTCCATTTTGGATGGACATGGATTGGAGTCTTTGCTTTTGAAAATAAGGGAGAACGTTTTTTGCAGAAACTGCAGCCATTGATTTCACAGAATGGGATCTGTTTAGCTTTCACACAAAAAATTCCACAACATATCCAGTTAGAAGACTTGTCCGAATTGTCTAATTCAGTCTCAATTATTTCTGATAAACTGGTAGATCAGAAAGCAAATGTTTTTCTTGTCTACGGAGAATCGTTCACAATAGTGTGGCTCAGAACTGTCATGTTTCTACGTGATCCTGAAAATAAAGACAGATCATTATTCAGAAAGGTTTGGATCCTGATGAATCCAATTGATTTCATACTGACAGGAACTCACAGGGACTGGGATCTCCAGTTGTTCCATGGGGCTCTTTCCTTTACAGTGCATGCAAGAGAAGTTCAAGGCTTCAAAGAATTTCTTCAAGTCATCAAACCTTCAATCCACAAAGATGGATTTCTTCAAGAGGTTTGGCAACAGTTGTTTGACTGTATATTTTCAAAGGCAGATTTACCTTCATTGATCAGTGAAACATGTAGTGGGGAAGAGAATCTGGAGAATTTGCCTGCACCTCTGTTTGAATTCCAGATGACTGGCCAAAGCTACAGTATCTACAATGCTGTTTATGCAGTGGCACATTCTTTGCATGAGGCAATAAGATCAAAATCCCAACCAAGAGAGATTCAAAGGGTTGAATTTCCAAATCTGCAGCCTTGGCAGGTAATCTTTCCATACTACACCTATCTTGCATTTCAATTATCATCCACAATCGTCCACCATCTAATATAGCTTTTTTATCCTGGTCTGTGGCCATAAATCAATAGAGAGACTGAGGCAACAAAGCTACTAGTGTCTCTCTTTTTAATAAGTTTATTGTTTTATCATAGAGAATAAAATACATGATAGAACCATTAAGGGAATTGTTTAATAGTATTTTGTTGGGTGAAGCGGTACCTCCTTCCTGGAGAACTGCTTTTATATCTTTAATACCAAAGGAGGGTCAGGATTTGACTCAACCCAAGAATTATAGACCTATATCTTTATTGAATACAGATTATAAGATTTTTTCAAAAGTACTGGCAAATAGACTAATGCAAGTGTTGAACCAATTGATTCATGGTGATCAATCTGGATTTATAACTGGAAGATATATGAAATATAATGTAAGACAAATTATTAATTTAATTGAATATTTGGATAAGAATAATCAAATTCCTGCTGCTTTTATTTTTTTAGATGCTGAAAAAGCATTTGATCAATTAGATTGGGGGTTTTTTGTTTCAAGTTTATTTATTTATTTTATTTATTTATTTATTGAATTTATATCCTGCCCTTCTCCATGCGGACTCAGGGCGGCTGACAATCAATTAAAAATACACCAATAACAATTACAAAATTAAAATTAGTTAAAAAGAAATATTTAAATGTTGTCTAATTAAAATATGATTAAAACCCCTCTAAAAATTGCCCTAGGCCAGTCCCGCTTATTGGAATAGCCATGTCTTGAGGGCGCGGCGGAAGGAAGGGAGATCAGGGATCACCCTGATCTCTGGGGGCAGCTCATTCCAGAGGGTGGGAGCTCCCACAGAGAAGGCCCTCCCCCTTGGGGTCGCCAGCCGGCACTGTCTGGCCGACGGCACCCTGAGGAGACCCACCCTGTGGGAGCGTACTGACCGATGGGAGGTAATCTGTGGCAGAAGGCGGTCTCGAAGGTATCCCGGTCCGCTGCCATGGATAGAATGAATTTTGGGGGGAAATTCTTGTCCGCCCTTAAGGCTATTTATCAACAGCAATCAGCACAGATTATAGTTAATGGGGGGGGGGTAACAGAAGCATTTAAAATTGAAAAAGGAACTAGACAATGATGTCCATTATCTCCATTGTTATTTGTGTTAACAATGGAGATTTTGTTAATTAAAATTCGAGAGTCTTCTATAATAAAAGGAATTAAGGTTAATAAGATTGAGTATAGATTAAGAGCTTTTGCAGATGACCTAGTGTTAACATTAACTCAGCCAATAGATTCGGTAATTGACTTGGTTGAAATTATTGTACAATATGGGAAAGTTTCTGGTTTTAAGATTAATTGTAATAAGACTAAAATATTATCGAAAAATATGTCTTTGAATGATAAAGATATGTTAGTTACGCTTACAGGTTTTGAAATGGTTAAAAAGGTAAAATATTTGGGAGTTTATATTACAGCCACTAATGCTAAATTGTATAAGAATAATTATGAATCTTTACGGCTTAAGGTGCAAAAGGATTTAAATGATTGGAAAAAATTGCAATTATCTTTATTGGGGAGAATCTCAGCAGTAAAAATGAATATTCTCCCAAAGTTTCTTTTCTTGTTTCAAATGATCCCTATTTTTAAAAAGATGCTAATTTGGAGGATTGGCAGAAGGGTATTAATAAGTTCATTTGGGCGGGCAAGAAGCCAAGAGTTAAGTTTAAGATTATGCAAGATATAAGGGAACGAGGAGGACTTAAAGCCCATAATTTAAAATTGTATTATGATGCGGTGGTTTTGACATGGATCAGTGATTGGTTAAATTTAACAAATAAGAATATACTTTCTCTTGAAGGATGGGATTTGTTATTTGGTTGGCAGGCATATTTAATTTATGATAAAAAGGTAGATACAAATTTTAAGGCCCATATTTTAAGGAGTGCTCTATTGAGAGTCTGGAAGAAATATTATTATAAATTAAATTATAAAATTCCTATTTGGGCAACTCCAGGACAGGTAATAGAGGGGATATCTAGGGGAGTTAACTTGGATAAAGTTTCTTACAAGGAATTACTTTGTCCGGTAGGACAAGACTGGCAACTTAAATCTTTAGTAGATTTGAAACAAGAAAATATTGAATATTCTTGGTTTTATTATA